TTCACTGTCTAATGCATTTTGAAAGAGGAGACTGCAAAGATATTGGTAATCTGTCACCATTCATATTGTCCATAGTCTGTAAGACCTTTAAATTACTTATGTGTTATAATTACAGATAACTATTCAGAAGAACCAATATTTCATTTGCAGGCACCCAAAATTGGTTTGTATCGCGATGCGCATACTTACATCGGTTTGACACCTTCCATAGCTAAAACAGGGCACATTAATCTTCTGTCGCACTTGGGCAACATCATCAATGCTGGTCCAGGCTTTATGCCTCTGGACAGAAGCCAGCAAATCTAAGGATTATAGTGAAGAAGAGTGAATAACATTGTCGTCTCCCCTCTGTATTTCTTATAAACCAGACCGTTAACCCATTGAAGCCTCACTCTGGAAGAATTAGCAGTTAAAAATGAATGCTTGGTCTGCACTTAATCTTGTGTAAGCAGTACATTAAATGTAGCAAAAGGAATATAAGTTATAAAGAACAGAGAGAACTTGCATGAGGGCATTCTCTCTATGTACTGTAGGTATAGGAGTCATTGCTGTGAGCAGAGCAGTAAAGAAACAATTGGCGATTCCAATTTTTGGGAGCATTTAGTTTTTTTGGGCGCAGGATCATGCTTTCGGACATTGCCCCTAACACATGGAATTCATTTGACACAAAACCCCTGGGTTTAGCCTTCAGCTCTTCATGTAGGTCTCACGCACTGCTTTCCCGCTCTCCGCTGCAGCTCACTAACAAAACTCTGAGCAACAGCAGCCAGGCGGAGCTGGAGAACCGGCTGCACCAGCTGACGGAGACGCTCATCCAGAAGCAGACGATGCTGGAGGCCCTGGGCACGGAGAAGAGCTCACTGGTCTTCCAGCTGGAGCGAATGGAGCAGCAGCTGAAGAGCCTGCAGGGCAGCGCCCTCAACGGGCCGGCCATCAGCATGGCGGCGATGGAGGGCACTGAGGGTACGCTCTTGAAATTCACGAGACACAAGGAGCACTCATTGGATTGTGGAGGGACACCTACAGGGACTTAAATCCTCAGTGGCCCATGAGCTGTACAGTTTCATACATTGCAATTTCCTTCCCAACATCCCTTGGATCTTAAGGGTGCTGTACAGAGAAGGTGAACATACTCACGTCAAAGCCCTGGTTAAGGGATAGTGTTTCCACACTTGAAAGTTCAGTATTTAAGGTGTTACACCCAAGATCCTGGACATAGTGGTAGTTTGGAACCGTGGTCAACAATCCCTTGATCCTTTAATGATGAATCAGTAAGAGTTCAGGTCATGAGGAATCCCAAGCAGCTGCTGTCATTGGGTATTCAACTATTTAATCCTAAGAGGCAGATCAGAGTCTGGCAGCACTGGGGCAACTTGGTTATCATGGTGCCTAAGCGGTGCTCATTTACATCCTGAAGGATCCTCTGGTCAGCACTACCTTCCTGTGAATTGCCACAGAGATAGAAGCATGTCACAGAATCCATGTCTCATTGGGTGGATTGGTAGGAGAAGCCTATCTACACTACCTCATTCTCTCCATGTGGGTACAGATGCCATTGCTGAGAGCAGATGAGTAAAGACACAATTGATGATTCCATATTGTGTGGGTATAAAAAATAATTACTGATTCTAAATTCATTTAGAAAGAAAAGTATTTGTAAAAAAGGCAGGTTCAGCATGTTCTTTTGCTGTTACAAACATATAGTTTCTTACATTTTTCTTACATAATTCTGTATCGCAGGACATCAGTAATTATTGCTGTCTGTTTTTTCTCCCTTTTCTTTTTTTGAAGGTGCTCGTCTAAGAAATGTACCCATCCTCTTCAGCGATACTGAAAGCCCAGCTGCGGGAATGTATGGGAAAGTTCGCAAAGCAGCAAGTACAATAGACAAATTTAGGTAAACTGTGTGTATATGTCTGCCTTTTTATACGTAATTAATTGAGCAGGTCTCTTAAGGATTTACTCTTGAAATAAAAACAAGTTTAATTCACAATTCCTCTGCCAATACTTTTATTTGTAATTGTTGCTTTCATTTTTATTAAGAGTAATGCTGTACTAGAACTCGCATAACTCCATTAAGCACAATTCTAACTGCATTGTATATGCATGAATAATGCCTGCATATTACTTACTGTGAACTGATTCTTTTTTGCTATTTCAGCATCAGGCTCGGAATCTTTCTTAGACGCTACCCAGTGGCAAGAGTATTCATAATTATATACATGGTAAGTGTATTTCTGTCGCTTTAGATGGAAAAAAAAATGACAATAAACATCTTTATTTTAAGACTTAATTTGTATTTATTAAAACACATTTAAATTCATTTGGATATAAATAATGCTCACACCCATATGATTGTATAATCATACGCATTGGAACACTTTTTATGCCCAACACTGTATTCACATAAATGTATATTCTATTAATTAAAAACTAAATTATAAGTTTTTTTTTAACAGCCTGATAAATTGGGACATTAGAAACTTAAATATAAGATTGAGTATAGAATCTGAATGTTTTTTTTATGTTCTTTTTTTATTTGTTTTAGGCTCTTCTGCATCTTTGGGTAATGATTGTGCTTCTAACCTATACACCAGAAATGCACCATGACCCTCCTGATGGAAGATAGGAAGTTTAGTTTAATAATTTTGAAAACAAGTCCATGCAAGCTGCAGAATATGGAAACTGCTAACCTTTCAAAGGAGCTGGGGCCAGAAGAACACCACGGACACAAACCCTTGCGTTTTCCCCTTCTCAAATCCAAGGATCTTCCAAAGCTCTTTCTAAAATAAATGCACTGCATTTTCATGACAGTAAAGTGCACACTTTTCAGTCCTTCTGGAGAAACAACTGACTTCTTGAACGTGATCAGGGAAATAATCTTGAAGATCAACGCTGAGTTTTATTATTTTTTCCTCTTTTCCTTATACTGTCTTTGTTTTCAGTTTTCCTGTACATAGAAAGATTGTGTTTCTTAACCCTGTAAGAATATTACATTTTAATAAACATTGTGGCAGAGGATATACAAAGTGTGTTTTGTTATTTTAATTGTTTTGTACTTGTACCATTCTTCATATTTGCTTCTTACAGTGCAGCAGGATATATTGAACAAAATATAAGTCTTTAAACCTGGGAAAATAACTTGTTTAATTAAGAGGCCTAGTGAAGTAGCCCTCAGGCCTGCATTTTGTGACTTGTGCAACATGTGGAGCACCCTGGAAAATTCCCAGAATATGAACTACATGACAGCTATGAAAGCTACCATAATCCAGTTCCACTGATGACTATGTGATGTAGTCCAAAACAAAAGCTTACAATTAGAGTAAAGCAGACTAGGAAGGAATGAGATGGGGGGGGGGATCTAGAGTCTGTGGATGGCAACAGGTTAAATATATTCTACTTAAAGCACAGAACAGATCCATCACACAAGTAAATCAAAATCAGGTAGACAGTGAAATGGTTTTTCAGTTGAGAAGAATACAAGGAGAAGCATATCACTATTCAAACTGTTTGGGGAGAAAAAAAGAACAGGACCTATTTAAAGAAACTGAGTATAATGAACTGCAGGCACAGGTTAAAAGGAGTATTACCTCAAGAGAGCTAAAGAAAATAACATTGCAATGGAGGCTAAATGTTCTTCAGTATTAAGCAATAAAATAAATGAAGTAAAGTTTTTTCAGTGATAAAAATGGGAAATTTTGATGTTGAAAGGGAAGTGGCATATATCTCAATCAATATTTGACTCAGGTGTTTATCAAGGAAAAAACGGATAAAGTACCTCAAGCTGAACAAAAACAACTATTAGAAATATTAGCATATACAGTAAGTAGTATATACTAACAGCACCCAAGATAACTCTCCAAGGGCATATGGTATTCTGTCAATTGTACTTAAGCACACTATAATTCTCACATAAAGCCTTTATAAAAAATTCTGTAGTGCGAAATTGCTGACCTTGTACTACTGTATGTATAATTTTGCCAGTTCAGAAGGTTTTAAAATGAATTAATGCTGTCATCTATATGCAGCCGGCACATTCGCACTGCGGCATTTAAATATGGACGTGTATTCACAGTAACACAAGACCTTTGTATTATTTTAAAAGAGAAACAAGCAAATTACAAACCACCCACTGCCACTAGACGGACACGGACGGCTTCAAGCTATTTACAAACACATTTAACCCAACAGCTTCCGAGAGACTTGTTGGTCCTCCGGTGTCCCATGATGCCGTGGTGGCTTTACCGACTGTCCACGTATCCCGAGGAGCACTGGCTGTCATGGCCGCCGTCGAGTTGGCAGGGGGATATCATCAGTTTGTGCTGAGCATTGAAAATAAAAACACAGCTGTTACAGAAACTTAGAGGGGGCAGAAGAGCGAGCTGTGGTATCTGGCGCACCTTGCATATTTTACTGTGATCTAACTTAACTGTAACTGCCATTCTTTTTTGACTTAGCTTTTGTAATTGTATCTTTGGTGTCGTCGTTTTAACAAGCCGCGAGTTTTCCAGTGGTATGTAGCCGGCAGCATGAGTCGCAAAGCTGGGTAACACCACACGAGGTGTCGCTGTGGCGGCTTCCATTTAGATGGGACTGGAATTTGACTTGTATCGGACAGGAAACGAAAAGAGCAGGCATTGAATGCTCCGTTCCCGTCGTTGTCGCCAACCGTCGCCCTTTTTAAACGAGTTCGTCTTTTGTTGCAACGATGTCTTCGTGGCTCGGAGGGCTCGGCTCTGGGCTGGGTCAGTCTCTCGGACAGGTCGGGGGAAGCCTGTCCTCGTTCACCGGCCAGCTGTCCAGCTTTACCAAAGACATTCTCCTGGAGGGCACGGAGGAAGTGGGAGGTGAGTGCAGCGTAGTATTCTTAGTCTTCTCCGAATCGGGAACTCTGCTCGCCCTCAGCACCTTCAGTGTTGAGGTCGATGTATCCACCGTGCTCACACACGCACATCACTGAAGCGTGGAAGTCTGTGAGGTAAATACTCAGTGGGGTGCTTACTGTCTTGCTACACAAGTCCTAATTGGGATTAACCCCAGTCAGTGTCAGTTTCTCATAACCATGGAACGCAGCGTTACATACAGATCCTCTAATGACACCATTGTCTTGCAAATTCTTGCCTTGACTTTGACCATTATTGCGAATACGTCTGTTTGTGTCTTTTTTTTACCTTTCTTTGTGTAACTTTTACCGTCCCTGTGGTGTCATACAACATCTTCTCATTTAGGTTTGGGAAGCCCATCTGTGAATTTGCCTCATTTCGAATTTTGTCAGGCTCTGGGGTTGGTTGCTTTTAAGATGCCCCATTTTAAGATTCATTTTCCAAAACGTAATTTCTGTGTGAAATCCAAATATCGAGTTTGTCTTTCTAATGTTTGGCTTGGGATGTAAAATATGCCTTTTTGCACATTTCAAACTGTTAAGTCCTTAGAATGTTTTTCAGCCCACGTTCAAGGGAGGGGCAGTTAAGTGTTGACTACCTTATGCAAGTGTGATTTTCCAATAGCACTGGGGTCCTGTTCTTTTATGAGACCTGGGAAGGGATTATTCACAGAAACATGGTGGGTTACCATATTTGCACAGTTTCAAATATTTACATTTCATAGTAAACCAAAAAAATGCCAGACATATGTATATAGCCTTCTTTTCTGTTTTTCACTTTTTCCTTTTTGTTTTCTTCAGTCTTTGTTTGATGTTCATGTTTATCCAAATCAAAAGAAAAGGCAGGTTATGAAGCTTAAAATGTGATCTGTGCAGTGCAGTTTTACTGAAGAGACAACAGCTGTTGGTGTTTGCTTTCAACGTTCACTGTCTACTAGGAACTTTGAACTGTTCATTTGAGAATCAGCCCTTAGGAAGAAGTCGCACTAATAAAATGACATCTGAGAGTGGAAGGGTTTCTAAAGAAATAAGTTTAATATTAAATATTCTAAATGTAATATTCAATTATCATGTTGAGTGTTTGACAAACTGACATTTTTTGTAATCTTTGTGGCATAAAAAGTGACAGAAACAGTGCCAGAAGTAACCAGTGTTATCTATTATCATACCCTTATTGTAGAGAATGGATATCAATGCCTACTTTCTAAGTTTACTTTGATGCCAATGATGGAGCACATGTGACCCCCACCTCACACAGTACAGGGGATTATATATTGGTTCATTTTAACAGATATATCATACTTGTACCATACTTGTTGTTCACATTGTTATTGTGTTTACTGTCTATTGTCTTGTCTGCTGTTCTTTATATACTTCACCTGATGGACTAATGAGAAACGCTTTTCATTATACTATCCACCTGTAAAGTGGACCAATAAAGTTGAATTGAATTTACCTTATAGTTCAACACTGCTTCTCTTCCTTCAGAGTCAGAGTGGTGGGATGTATTGAAAAAGGTGAATATAAAGGCTGATTAGTCTTTTTATTTTCAGTGCAAAAGATACGATGGCCGTTATGATAGTATTGAAACACAGAGACGAGCGCATCCTTACTTGTTGCTGTGTCATTCAGCTCAGTTGATGCCAGGTTTGGCAGTGCTCGTAAAAAGCTGCTTAGCCTCTTTGTTTCTGAGAGGGCAAGAGAAAGCAAACTTAACATTTAAACCTGAATTTCTTGATTATCCTCTAATCAGTGGTCTAATAAGGCAATTTAAGTACCTTATGTGTACAAATTGCAGTTTGCATCATGATGATTTTGTGAACAAAAGACTTTGTAAAGGTTGATTCCCTGGTTATGCATGTAGTGAGGGGATTGTTTAGGGTAAAAGCTCGCAGACGTTTTCTTTGAGCTTCTGTGTAAGGATTGGCTCGGAAGTGAGTGGCTTTATACTTCTTGGACCTTTTTAGAACATGGGGCAGATAGCAGAGGGGAAATCCCATCTCGGGTGCCACTTACTCAATTTTCCTTTGAAGTGCACACAATATAAAGAAAAGCATTTTGATTTAGTAAAAAAAACATTAAGAAACTGAAAGTCATTTCCAGAGAGATCCTGATTTAGCTTTCTGTTTATGATTAGATAACTGCTCAAGGCTGGGCACATTTCTTTAGAGCTTACTTTAGCAGTGGCAGCTGTTTTTCTGTGCTTTGTGGCCACACAACTGGGCTGTAGCAGATACTGGTCCGTCAGTGTACCTCTGACTCTTGAGAGAAATGATACTAACAAGGCTTATAAAAGATCTGCTCCAAAAAAAAAACGACCATAAGATTGTTTCCGTAAGTGGAAAACACATTTATACAAAACCAAGAGTAGCTTAAGCATGGCATGAAAGCCTTGTTTTTGTTGTTTTGATCTGCATTTTTTTTCTCTGATGTTCAGTCTATCAGAACTCTTGTTCCTTTTCTATCTTTTATAAAGAGCAATAATGAAAAGTTATGATGAGGAATAAACTAACGAAGTTTTCTAACTGTTTTAAGTGTTTTTTTAAACAACATTGGTATAACCTTGTTCTTGAAAATCTTTGTAATTGTGGTTTTGTTGTGAAAAAAGATACTAAATGTGTTACTAAAATACATTTACAGTTTTTTATATCATAACATTGCAAGTTCCTTTTTATTCAAAAACATGATAGAAAAGTTAATCACATATTTATGATTTTTTATTGTGTCATGCCCTCTTTTTAATGATGTATACATCAGTTACATTTTTATGGTAATAAGTTTAGTTCAAATAGAAACAGTTCCTATTGTAGGTTAGGTTTTAACTCCAAAGTCTATTTAAAAATATTCATGTGCATCTAAGCTTAAATCAAAGTACAATTAAAGAGATGTATTGAATTATTATCGAAGTGTCTTAGGTTTTAAATGACTTCAGTGGAACTTTTCAGGGTGGGGCTCTGCCATGGACAGTATATTATTAAGCAATTTGTTAGTTCGTTTGGCTTTGAGCATCTGTTTAAAACTTCATGTTGTATCTGCTGGTTTCCTTTTCCAGATGCTGCTACTGAACTACATGTCTCCAACTCAAAACTAATGGAAGTGGAATCAACCTATACAACTCTGAAATCAGAGGTAATGACAATCCAGTGTCAGGTACCCCGGCAGGGTAGTCATGAATCTACACAGATCTGAAATCAAGTTCAAAGGTAATAACAATCCAGTGTCAGCTACAGCAGTACCAGCAGGGTAGTCATCAGTCTACACAGATCTGAAATCAGAGGTAATGACGATCCAGTGTCAGGTGTCGCAGTACCAACAGGGTAGTCATGAATCTACACAGGTCTGAAATCAACTTCAGGGGTAATGACAATCCAGTGTCAGGTACCGCAGTACTAACAGTAGTATATATTATCACCCTTTTCCCGATTTCTTAAGCCTAGATTCCAGTTACGAAATTCACCTACATTTTGAAGACAGTAACAGGATGTTTTGGCCTGCCCAATAGTCGCTCCCTGATGCGTCATAGACTACTAGGCTCTTAATAATGGAATTATCTGCAGCTCATTTACTAGATAGACAATAGAAACCACTGTTAATAATGACGACTGTAATACACTTATAAGAAATATTGTTCTTACTCTGAAAGTTTGCTTCTTGACAAATTCTTCTATTTAATTCTCTGCTTAAAGGGAAATTGATTTCATATGATCCCACAGCAAGCAGTTTGTGTTAGAGTGAAATGGTCATTCTCTGTATTATGTTACAAGAGTTTGCATTTCATATGTGATGTTCATTTGTGATAACTTGCAGAAAAATCATAATAAACTTAATTTATATAGCATATTTAAAAGTTGATTCTGAAAGCACGCAATAAGAGGAGATGGTAGAATTACACAATTATAATACAGTAGGAAAGCACAGAGGCAGACGCAGATGCAGTTAAATAAAATCCCTTCTAAAGAAGAAGATTTTAAGTCTAGACTTGAAAGAGCCCAGGGAAGGTGACTCTGATATCCTTAGAATTCCAGACCTCTGGGGCATAACAAGAGAAGGCCCTATCACCCATAGCATGTAAATGGTCTTGGGGGACAAACAGGAGATCAGAATTAGATTGCAACCCAGGTTGCAATGTGAGGAGTAGGATAGTGGTAAGTCAGATACTGAGGTGCCATCCCATATAGAGCCCTTTAGTTAAGCAAGACGATTTTGAAGTCAAGACTAAACTTTGTAGGAAGCCACAGCAAGGACTTGAAAAACACTCATTGCTCGTCCTATTTGTTTTCCAGTATGAACGGTTGAGGAAGATTCACTTGGAACTCGAAGAGAAGCATGAGGCTGCAGAGATTCAGATAAAACAGCAGTCATCCCAATACCGATCTCTGCTGCAGCAGAAGGAGGTATGGTGGATAGCTGCAGTCACAGCAGTGTCTTCACACTTGGACTTTTGCTATCAAGACAGCTGTTGGCTTCACTTTATGGACATGGATTCTTCAAGCCACATTACGTTGAATATCTCTCTGAATTTGGCATCTGTACAGTATTTTAAAACTGTGCGGTTTTGTAATGAAATTCATATTTCAGGTGGAGATCAGCCATCTGAAAGCCAGGCAGAATAGCCTTCAGGATGAAGTGCAGAAGCTCCAGATGGCTGCACAGCCCACAGAACCAGCTGTCCTGCCCACCAGCACAACAGCCTCCTTCCTCCCAACCCCAGGGCCTCACCCAGGCTTCCAGGGGGACGAGATGGACTTTGGAGATGTCATCTGGTCTCAGCAAGAGATCAATAGGCTGTCCAATGAAGTGTCTCGACTTGAATCAGAGGTTTCTCACTGGAAGCATCTATCACAGGTCACTATTTGAAATGGTCCCTTTTTTCAAAGCGGTGACATGGTTAAGAACTGTGGCCTCACAGTTCAAGGCTCCTGGGTTAAGTTCAGGGTGGAGTCTACATGTTTTCCTGTTCTTTAGTTTCTTCCCACCTCTCAAGGACACGTTGGCTGTATTCTAAATTCTTCCTACTTTGCCACGCTGTTGACTAAATTACTTAAGGGAAGTGCTCTCAAACACTTTGCACAGGCGCTTTTTTCATAATTCGTTGAAAATGCTTTGGAAACTTGGAAACTGATTTCAGAAGTTGTGAACTGAGTGATGTTTACTAAGCAGTAGGGCTGGGCGATATGACCTCAAATCAGTATCACGATAATTTCACACATTTACCTCGATAACGATAAATTAACGATAATTTTTTTAAAACCCTTGAAATTATATGATTACATGATACGCTGAAAGATCATGTTTTAAATATGCAAAACTATTAAAGCTGCACACACCTCATCTTGTGTTAGAGACAGCTGTTTGGGGGAATCACTTCGGCCATGAGTGCACGTGTCGGTCTTTTTTTTTTTTTGCACTCTTCATATTCCACGACATGGTTGTATTTCAAGTGATGAAATGAGTTGCTCGTGTTACGTTTGGGCACACAAACAGTTTTCCGACAGATTTTACATCTCACTTCTCTTTGTTCAGTATCCTGTTTCCTGAAACCAAAATATGACCAAATGATCGACACTGCATCTTTTTTAGATACCAGCCCGTCTTCATTTGTACTTGAGTCATCCCTGTCTGACTGGGGTTCAGCATAAGTGCTCGTGTTGTCTCATGCCCGGCACGCTTCTTTGTGTTAGGAATGAAGAAGGAAGGTTGGACGAAGCAGAAGCATATGACTGGATGTGGTGACTGGCTGTTGTAGTTTCTAAGGGGACTGGTCATAAAAGCACACTGTGAGGAAAGCTTTGACCAAACATACCAGCATCAGCAAAATTAGATCGGCGAGAGATTCTTAACGTTGGTAGCGGTAAATTTTTGGTATATCACCCTGCCCTACTAAGCAGTATGTTTTTTTAGGTTTATATACTAAAAGGAGTTATGTTTGCTCATTGGAGGCGATTCTGTCGGATTCTTAGATCGTGCCCCGAGACCTACAGTATGATGTTTGCTGGTCACGTGGCAAAGGTGCTCAGTCTGTGATTTGTACCAATCTTTATTTTTAAAGACTTCTAAGACTCAGGGAGCAGTCAGTACTGACCAGAGTGATGTGCAGGCACTCCAAAGAACTATTAAGGTAAGAGAAACAGGAGTGTTATTCTTCTTACTTCTGCTTTGCATTCTTATATTTTAAAGAGCCCAGTGCATCAGGTTTTATGCAGTATGTTTTGATGGTGAACAGATCTCAGAATACTTTTTATTATATTAGTGTTAAAATGTTAGAAAAAAATAATCCTGTTTTTTTTAAAAGATAAATTTACGGTCCAGGTTCTTCACTTACTATTCAGAATGCTCTTGGGTTTTGTTTGCCATGAGCTATGGATGATTCTGCAGTTGTTTGCTTTGGTTTTGACCTGTGATGCAGAGGGAACAAGTTGGGAATCATTTTCGTCTTTTCCGTGGCGCTTATCTTTACCCTGTGTAGTTCAGGATGTCTCTTTCCCCATTCCCTCCCCCCCATCCCAGGAGCTGAAGGAGACTATGAGCCGGGACATTGATGAACATCAGCACGAGCTCTCTGTACTGCAGGACGCGCACAGACAGAAAACGGCAGAGATCACGCGTCGACATAGGGAGGAGCTGGCGGAGTATGAGGAGAGAATTGAGGAGCTTGAAGAGCAGCTGCAAGCAGGTGTGAGACATCTCCTACTTTCTACAGCTAATTGGACATCATCACAAGCGTCGGGCGCCGATCTGAGACTCTATGAATACATACTGTAGCTGATCCTAGAAGATAAGATCGTAAATATCCTGTTTACGATGTTTAAACTTAAGCCTGATTATTACTAAGGTGACATCAGGCATTGATATCTCAATGTAAACCATGAATGAAAATGTTATGATCAGTCTCTTTTGTTACTTTCCGGAATCAGATGTTGTAGTTTTAAGCTGGCTGCCATGACTGTCACAAACAGCTATGATTTGCATCTGTTGAGCAATAAGAGGAAAAAAAAGACGTAATTTGGTTACCTCCAGAGAGGTGTGTCTCAGGTCGAATGTAGGTGAGGTACATTTTCATAGACGCAGCATGCGTGTTCTGTGCTAGCAGGTGACCTTACTGATCTTAACGGAAAATGAAAAGCTTGTATGACAATAGAGGAGCTTTGAAGTTCTAACTTTCAAACCTTTTCTGAAAATATTGGAAATTTGCAAAGCAAGCCAGAGGGTTATTTCTAAAACTTTACACCATTGTGTATTGAGACAGATATGTTTTTATCTGAAATGTCAAACTTGAAATTGGACTGAATTCATATATGTAGATACATTTTTGTATTTCTGATCATCAGTGTTTTATACGTTGTGTTTTGTTTCAGGTGGATCCAGCACGGGAACCCAGGAGCATTCCCAAGTGTTGGAGCTGCAAAGGACAATCCAAGCCCTGGAGGAGAGTGCACAAGAGCAGGAGAAGAAGCTGAAGAGTATGGCAGAGAGTCTCGCTGCCTCAGGGAAGAAGCAGACTGCACTGTTGCAGGAAAAGGAACTTGCCGAAGCAGAGAACAACCAGCTGATGCAAAATTATCGAAGACTGCAGAACTCTGTTGAAGAACTTCAGACTAGAGTTACAGAACAGGAAGAGAAAGCTATGCATAAATCACACCTTGAGAATGAGATCACTGGATTGAAGAAAGCTCTGTCAGGTAACTCTTGTCTTCTAGATTTGATCCAGAAAGATGTTGCACAATGTTTTTAACAACTTGCACTGTTGTAATTCGAAAGCATTTTTGCTAAACTGTTGAGTTATGACAGCTGATACGATTTAATTATTCTTCTCTCGATTGCAGCAGCAGAAAAGGAGATATCAAGGCTGAACAGTCTCAGTGCGGTATGTTGACAACTTGATAATATGTAATTGAGGCATTTGCAGGCTATATAATGAAATGTTAAGAGTAATTTGTGCTGTCTGCATTTCTTTGTATTGTTAAATGTTCGAGATAGTGTTTGTTTAAATTATAATTGGTTGTTTTTTTATATTTTATAACGTGATGCTTATGTTTTATAATGTAATTTATATTCTATTTTGCTAAATGAGAATCATCCCAATTTGTGTTTACAATTTTTCATGTACTGCATTTATTGTAATTATTCTTTTAGAAAAATATGCCATTAAAATCTCCAGTGGTCCACTAGATCACCTGCCTGCTGTCCTAAGTGGTTAACACCACAGAAAGTTAATTTCCAACCCTGGGAGAAAAATAGCAGTGTGATGCATTTTGTACATTTATATATTATGCTAGAATAACCCACTGCAGAAAGCTTCTAGGAAGAAATCAGAGAAAAACACAATGCACTGATATTTTGAGAGGAAGAGAGATTAAATTAAAAAAATATTTCTTAAAAAATAGCAGGACAATGAAATGTGACAGTGCATGAAAAGTCATTTTGATTTAGCTTGATTCTGAGTCGGCATTTAAGAATGCCAGTCCCCAACTCTTGCCCTTATTGTGTTTACGGGCAAGTACAATTTTCCTTTAACTGCTCTACTTGAGCATGACTGTGAAAGCTTTTTTTTTTGTTTTACCAGACTGAGTCCCAAGCAGAAGTAGAACACGCAGACATTCTAGAACTCAATACTATAATTGAGTCCATGAGGAAAGAGAAGGAGGAGCTGGAGCAACAGAAGGTTGGTAGAAGTCAAGAACAGTTCCGTCTCAGCCAGTGGCTATATTTGTTTCTATCCATTCTTCTTAAATATCTTAATCTAGCAATTCTTAAATTATATAAACATTATTAGTGAATCTTGGATTGAATTATATTTTTTTCCATCCTGTTTGTTCTGTGCCAATTTTTAAATTAGGTGGCCAAATACTGAGGTAAAATGAATGATTTAAATGCAGAATGAAACTATACTTGTATTTCCAGCATGAACAGAACATGGGTTACAGTGAAGAGGGTATTCTGCCCATCTGGTTTGTGTGTTTAGGTAGTTTGTCCTTGAAAAACGTAAGAAATCCATGCTACTCAGGAGAATTATTGATCTACTGCAGAATCTGTCCCTGTTTGTATAAATCAGAAATGACCTTTGGTTATTGCTGGGATCTGCTACACTCTTGGAGTTGGAAATATGCTGGTGTACATGTGGAAGTAAGGCGGGGCAGGAGGTGAGAGTACAGCCCTCCATCAGTGCTCCACGTTGTAGTGGTTGACAGTTTGTGGTGTGCAGCAGCAGCCATCAGGCTGTATCTATAGCTAATGAAAAACCACAGCAGAATTCCATTGAGACTCTCTTCTCAGAATCATCCAAAATTGGTGCAGCAAAATGCACATTTTTCTTGGCGGACTATAAACCATTTCCTGCAGTGTTCTGTCCGGGATACATCTGCATTTTTTGTGACTTGAAGTCAGTGTTTCCTTGTTGAGCTTCAAAATTGGTATTGGGATACACAATTTCATTGCTTAACAACAGCACCTATTATGAATAGTTTGGGTCGTTTGTTGGGAAAAGGATTCACTATGAGCTGAGCACTGAAAGGCTTAACTACTTTATCACTCTCATTTCTGTTGCATGTATGTATCATGTTACTGTTCAGTTGTGATACTTTTGCCCTATTTTTCAGCTTGAGCTTCTTGAAAGGCTGAAATCTCAAGAAATGCAGGAGAATGGTACCAGAAAAAACGAAGAGCTGGATGCCGTCCTGCTAGAGGTGGAAGAACTGAGAAGCGAGTTGCAAGAAAAGGAACTGGCCTTTACAGAGGGTGCCATGGAGAAGGACAGGCTGGCAGCAGAAGTGGAGGAGCTGGACAGGCAGAATCAGGAAGCCAATATGGTCAGTTATAGTTCATCATCCTTCGTGTTATGCTACAGATTAAGGAATAACATCCCTAGATAAAAAAACATTCACAACTGCAGTATCAGGGGTATGAATCACTTGCATCAACTAGGATCTAAGGGGAGATAAATTGTTTTATGTAGGTAAGTCACAATAATGATTTCTTCTTATTTTGTAGCACCTGATTTCACTCAAGGATCAGCTGGCCCAGCAGCGTAAAGATGCAGATGCTTCTATTTGCCGTCTGCAGTCTGAACTGGAGAGCTCAAGAAAGCAGCAGAAGGACCAGGCAGCGATGCAGCAGGAGCTGGAGCAGCAGAGAGAGAAACTGAGCCAGAGCGCCTTTGCTCTCAATGACATGCACATGGTCAGGCAGCAGCTGGAGAGCACCGTCGGGGACCTGAAGGATAAGCTGAAGAAGCTGCAGGAGGACAGCTCCCACCTTCGGAAGGAAAACTCGGAGCTGAAGAAACAGCTGCAGGAAACAGAGGAGCAACTTTCCACGGCCAGGTCGGAGCTTGCCGGGTCGAGCAAGAGTGCCGTTCGTGACGAGCAGCAGGAACAGCTGCTACAGCAAAAGGAAAAGGAGATGTCAGAACTGAAGCAGGAAATGTCCGAAAACAAAGGTTTGCTGGAAAAGGTTTCATCTGCAAATTATGAACTTAAAATGGAAAATAAAAAACTTAAAGTGGCGCATACGGAGGCAACAGTGAAGCACGAAGGATTGAGTCGCCAGGTTCAGGATCTCCAGGCAGCTTTAAAAAAGGCCTCCTTGGAGAGAGATACGAAAGTAGAAGCTTTAAGGCTAGAAAAGAGGCAGCTGGAAGCTGAGCTTAACCAAGCTGAAAACAGGTTAGCAGAACAGGCCCGGCAATACCAGCAGACTATTATGGAGCTTACAAAGGCCCGGAGCATGGATGCCACAGCTTTGCAGACTGAGCATGAGCGCATGGTTAAGCTGAATCAGGAGAAGGACTGTGAAATTTCGGACCTGAAACGAGAGATCGAACAAATGGCAGCCGATCACCAACAAACCAGTGAGATACTATCAACGAGTTTATGTGGGCAGAAACAGCTGACAGAGGTGATCAAAGAGAAAGAAGCATTTATAGAGAAGCTCAAGGAAAGGGTAGGCGAAACACAGGAGGAGCTTGAAAAATGTGACAGGGCAGCCAAAGAAGGGGACATGATTAAGCACTTACTTGACGAGAAAGAAAAGCAGCTTGGTGTGATGAAGGAAGAAAATAGTCATCTCAAAGAAGAAATTGACCGGTTGAGGGACCAGCAAAGCAGACCTCAACCTATTGCTGAGCCTAAAACTTTGGATATAATTACAGAACTGGAAACTGAGATCACACAGCTAAAAAGCAAAAATAACCACTTGGAAGAAGAGATTTTGGCTCTTAAGAAAGTAATGGAGGAACAAAAAGGAAGCCTTCTGCAATCTCAGCAGTCTATTCAGATGCAACAAAATGAATTAAATCAGGCCAAAATGCGGCATGAGCAATTGACTTTGAATTATGAAAAACTGATTTCTGAGAAAGACCAAGAGATTGTTCACCTTCAGGAATCTATTGATCAATTGAAGCAACAGAGGGAAACACAGGTGATCAACACCGATTCCTCTAATATTTTGCAAGAAGATAAAACTCAGTCAATGAATGTTGAGAATGGAAATGAGAAGCATGATTTCTCCAAAGTGGAAATAGAAAGATTGGTTAAGGGGATCAAAGAAAAAGAGATAGAGATTAACCTTCTCAATGAGAAGAATGTGTCATTGACCAAACAGCTGGATCAGCTGGTCGTTTCCAAAGACGAAGTGGGCAAACTCTCCCAGATCGTCCAGCAGAAGGATCTGGAGATACAAGCTCTTCATGCAAGGGTGTCTGCTGGATCACACATGCAGGACATCATGTACCTCCAGCAGCAACTTCAAGCTTATGCGGTGGAAAGAGAACAAGTGTTGGCAGTGCTAAACGAAAAGACGCGAGAGAACAGCCAGTTGAAGTCGGACTACCATAGAATCATGGATATTGTCGCAGCCAAAGAAGCTGCTCTCCTGAAGCTTCAAGAAGAAAATCAGAGGTTGTCCAATATGAGCGACACTGGGAGCCAAGAAATGGTACGAGAGACAATCCAGAACCTCTCCAGGATTATCAGGGAGAAGGACATTGAGATAGATGCGTTGACACAAAAGTGCCAAACACTGCTGACTGTCCTCCAGACCTCAAACTCCGGGTCTGAGGCCCAATCAAGTGGTGTGAGTAGCAATCAGTTTGAAGAGCTTCTTCAGGAGAGGGATACCTTAAAACAGCAAGTCAAAAAGATGGAGGAGTGGAAGCAGCAGGTCATCACTACCGTCAAGAACATGCAGCATGAATCTGCACAGCTGCAAGAGGAGCTTATAAAATTGCAAAGCCAGATCTCGGCTGATAGCGATTGTAACTCCAAACTTTCAGTCGACTACAATAGGTTGATCCAGGGTTACGAGCAGAAGGAAAAGAAGCTAGGGAACCTGAGTCAGGAACTTGCTCAGGTTCAGCAAACCATCTGCCAGCTGAGCAACACTAAGGATGTGCTGCTAGGAAAACTTGACCTGGTCGCAAGCAGTCCTGATTCGGGCACTCCTAGTGTGAGTGAAGCGGCCTGTAAAGTCACAACACCACTGGAGCAGGAAGATACAGTGAAAAGATTGCAAAGGGAGCAGGAACATCTACAAAAAATCCTACAGGAGAAGGAAACTGTTATAAGGACTCTCCAAGAAAATAACCACCGATTGTCCAATTCTATAGCTTCGGCCTCTGAGAGCGAGCAGAGGGGACACGAAGAAGCAGCAGCAGAGATCAGGCAGGCCAAGGACAAGTTGGGGGCCCTGCAGACGTCTCTCAGAGAAAAGGACCTCTTGATTAAATCCAAAGGGGACCAGCTAAGCTCTGTGAGTGAGAGCCTGAGAAACAAAGAAAACGACAATGAAGTGTTGAAGCAGGCAGTGACCAACCTTAAAGAGAGAACTCTGATTTTAGAAATGGACATTCGGAAACTGAAAGATGAGAACGAGCAAATAATAGCAAAGTCCAGAGAGAAGGAGACAGAATTCAGAGCTTTGCAGGAGACTAACATGCAGTTTTCCATGATGTTGAGAGAGAAGGAGTTTGAATCGAATTCTATGAAGGAGAAAGCATCTGCACTGGAGAAAATGCTTAAGGAAAGAGAGCAGGTAGGTCCATGTTGTTATGTGGATACATGAGAACTTAATTTCACTTTATAGTATTCAAACTGAACCTTAAAGAATCTCTAAAATATTTTTGCTACATCTGCTGAAAACACTGTTTTCTACAGACTTGAGCACAGTGCAAAACAACAAATCTGCATTTTATGATGTGATGTACAGTGGTTATCAAAAATTTTCACCCTCTTGGAATTTTTACATTTTATTGTTAAAATAATGAAATTATGTATTTAATTGAGATTGTTGCCATTGAAACACTATAATGTCCTCCTAAATTAATTAGAAATAAAATAACTGCATAAGTGTTTATTCCCTGAGTCAATATTTGATAGAGGCATCCTTGGCAGAAATTACTGCCACAAGTGTTCTTAGATAAGTCTATAAACTTTGCACATCTGGATACTGCAGTTTTTGCCCGTTGCAAATTTTCCCTTTAGTTTTGCGTAACCACAAAATCTGGGTTTAATCCCACATATTGTGTTTCTAACAGGGAAAGTCAGGGGAACTAAACCAGTTGTTGAATGAAGTCAAGTCAATGCAAGAGAAAGCTGTGAAATTTCAACAGGAGAGAGACCAAGTGATGTTAGCCCTGAAACAGAAACAGATGGAAACTAGTGCTTTACAGAATGAGGTAAGACTGATGCATAATTTATTTGTAAATGGACCCAGATGGTGTAAATTGGAGTAGAAACTCCTTCCTGAAAAAGCCTAAAATATTTATAATCCATCTCTCTGGTACTGTGACAGAAGTAAAATGTGTGGCTGTTCATGTTTTGTTTTAATATTTAAGGTACTCAAATATTTCCTGCACATTCCTCCTTATATTACAATACTGATTAAGAAGTCAGTTTGAGTAGCTAAATTGCAACCACTGTCATGAAGAAGAATTTACATTTCCAGGTTCTGTTAGCAATATGGAAATAGTTTTTAATGATGATCAATCAAAATAAACCCAAGACCCAAATTCTGTGCTTATAATAATAATAATAATTAATAATTGCTTACACTTATATAGCGCTTTTTCTGGACACTCCACTCAAAGCGCTTTACAGGTAAATGGGGACTCCCCTCCACCACAACCAATGTGCAGCATCCACCTGGATGATGCGACGGCAGCCATAGTGCGCCAGAACACTCACCACACATCAGCTATCAGTGGGGAGGAGAGCAGAGTAATGTAACCAATTCATAGATGGGGATTATTAGAAGGCCATGATTGGTAAAGGCCAATGGAGAAATTTGGCCAGGACGCGGGGTTACACCCCTACTCTTTTCGAGAAACACCCTGGGATTTTTAATGACCACAGAGAGTCAGGACCTCGGTTTTAGGTCTCATTCGAAGGATTTCTTATATCCCAAACAGTGATTCGGGCATGTACGACTTGGCAAACGCTATACATTCCTTCCCAATGCCTTTGTCCCTTAATACATTCAAGAGTTAAATTGAATCCGTATGTGAGAGTTGACACTAAAATAGTCATTTTAACCCTTGAATAATCTGATGTTCGCATGGGCAAAAACAGTCAGAAGGCACTGCTGGGGTATTTAGACAGGTCCTTCAGGGGGCAGTATTTCACCCACTGAACTGTGCCCTCAGCTGCAGCACATGAAGGACAAGGAGCAGCGCCTGAAGCAGGAGCTGGAGAGGCTGCGCACTCACCTGATTGAGATCGAGGACTCCTACACCCGAGAGGCCGTGGCGGCTGAGGACCGCGAGGCCGAGCTGAGGAGGAAAGTTGTGCTCCTGGAAGAAAAACTGGCTTCCTCTTCCAGCGCTGTGGAGAGTGCGAGGTAAAGCTACAGGCGTGGTACCTGCTAGCTGCTTGCTCATGGTTTCAGCAGCTACACATCGCACCATCTCTATAAGCAGATGTCAAAAGAGGGAAAGAATGATAACTCATTTTCATTTTTTTACTTAAAAATAAACAAAATAGAGGCTTATGGACTCAATATTTCTATGTTTTGTTTCATGGAGAAAAGGTGCAGACATTTCATTGACTATTTTATATTTTCCAGTAATTTAAAGACGTGTATTTTGGAGCATTACACAACTATTGAGTTTCACTAGTAATCAGCACAATGAAAACTTTCTGTATGCCACAATATATATATTATATAATATACATATTTAAAGATGCACATATAATGAGAACAGAAACCTTTTCACTTTCTTTACAAAAGTGTCCATAAGAAATAGCACGAAATGGAGCACTTGCACTTTATCCCTGATGCAAAACAGATCTACTTCAAGCCTAAAAATGCAAAGCGTTGTGTTATTTTATTACAATAAATTAAAGCTTCAAACCCCAGTTTTCTCCCTACTGAGAATTTGAGAACTGCCTCCTTCTGAGTCCTGCATGTACTATAAATTCAAGTGCGCATTATTAAAACATTCCCTCTTGTAAGGGAAAGCCCATTCAGGAAATTACCATTTTACAGTTGGGTTTTGGCAGGATTCTGTAATTCTTTTTTTAACCCTTGCAGCCATCAAGCTAGTCTGCAGGTGGAGTCCTTGCAGGAGCAGTTAAACACTGTTGCCCGTCAGAGGGATGAAGCCCTGATGCAGCTCCGTACCTCACAGGAGCAAGTGAACCAGTATGCAGTTTCCCTCTCCAACCTGCAGATGGTGCTAGAGCAGTTTCAGCAAGGCAAGTCAAATCTGCTGTGGTTCGGTTTACCCTGTACGTATTTAAACTTACACAGGTTTCTCCCTTGACATTTGAGAATGATCTTTTTGCTAAACCACTTCATAGGTTTATGTGTAAATATTGTGTTAATTACTTATCAAAGAGACTGATATTCTCGTTGTGCAGTCTCAGAGTCTTTAGGGGGTTGTGAGCTTTAAATAAATCCTCCAAATGCTGCTTATATGCATTGCTCATCTACGATTCATGTTTAGTTCTACTTAAGTGCATTTCACTAAAGTCCTTATTAGAAGTGAATTTCCACAGATAAACATGCCACAGTCTGTGTAATATCTTTTTTTTATGTATGCTTTATTTGGATAACACTTTTATCATCTTTGCTGGAATAACTGATTACACACAAAAATTGATGTACTCTGTTGTGTAATCTGTCACTTGCATATGTTTAAGCCTGATATTTAAGAATGGTGTCTTTCTCGTTCCTAGACCATACAGTTTATAGCAGTAATGTATTAGTGAACCTGTATTCGTTTTCCAGAGGAGAAGGCCATGTATTCAGCAGAGCTAGAGAAGTACAAAAAGGAAAGGGCAGAATGGAAGAGGAAGGCAGAAAAGCTGGAAGACAGACTGGCTGCCATGCAGGTATGGGATTAGAATGGTTTCTCCAGCCCCGGTAACTTTTCTCCCACTTAAACACAGTATCTTTTGTCATTTTTTTCCCCCCTAACCTTTCTGTTAGAGTTAATTTGGCAAAACGACTGTAACTAAGCCCAGACAGATCACTTGCCTTTCTATCAGTTCTGCTTTGTGAAACAGTTTTGTTGTTGAAAAATGTTTTTATAGCTGATGTGGGGGTCTTAAAATAATAGGACTGTTCTGGGATTTTGGCCATTTCCTTTCCACCCAGATTAATCTCGATGAAGCCAATGCAGCCCTTGAGTCAGCTTCAAGACTGACAGATCAGCTCGACCTGAAAGAGGAGCAGATTGAAGAACTACAAAAACAAGGTTAGGCTTTGTTTTGCTTCTTGGCTTGATGGGGAAAAAAGACCCTTATCTTTTTTTTAAAGAGCAAATAAGAAACTTAATTCCATTAGACTCCTCAGGGGCATTGACAAAGCCAACCCAGTGAAATTCTTCAGAATGAAAAGTGAAACATGAACCAGAGGGCGCACGTGGAAACTTCATGTATTTAAAACGGAAAAAGGAGGCACTTCTTTACCCTGAGGGTTGTGGGAGTCTGAAACAAGCTGCCCAGCTGTGTTGTTGCGGCTGATATACTGGCTTCTCTCACAAACTGCTGTCTTAGATGTAAGACATTTAAGGCAGCATCCATTCTTCATGAAGTCTTTCTATTTGATGTCTATGTAGTGTCAATGCTTAGTATGCTTAATCCACCTTTTTTGTCTTTCATTAAATCAGAATTGGCTACATTTGACAAGATCGATGACCAGATATTAGCGTGGATTTAATTGTAACACTATACTGAATCAGCAGGACTCTGAACTTTCATATTATTTGATCTTGATAATCTAAATACAGATTCATTGGATGGATTTCAGTATTTGTAATCCCTGAAAATATGTTCCTTAGCTCCCCACCAAACATATGCCTGTTTCAGTCTGTGTTTGTTAAAAATAGTTCGAAAAGTAAGTGTTAGGTAGTTGAAACTTTGAAAAAGATTATACACCCTTAGCCTTCAATAAGAATCTGAAGATCTCTGTCAGCCTCAAAAGTGGCATCCTGAAAAAATGATTTGAGATTTTGCTTTCTCTGCACCTGTGAACCTGTTTAGAATTATACGTGTCAGGATAAGCTCATATAAAGGATACTAAAAGAATAACAATCTGAACAGTAGTTGGTTTGCTTTATGCATTTATATATATATAGTTTGTCTTATTATGAAGGCAGATTTTGTTTTGAACAGTTTTCCGTTGTCAAAAGTATAGTATCTGCTGTGCTGCTTTCTGAGGATTGTTCCCAGAAACTGCCATTAATTTTATAATTTACTCATTTTCCCAAATGTAAAAAGTAATAGCTCTGTGAGCACAGAATAACAAATCTCATGAACAAGACAATCTGACAGCGTGTTTAATACAGCTGACAGCAGCCATAATTCACTTTCTGCTCCTAACAAACTGGCGAACCCCGAGTTGTCCTGCCCCATTTGTCTTGTTCAGTCACACGATAGTTTCAGCTTTATCAACCTCAGACAAACACAGCTTCCTACTAGATTACATCACAGTTAAATTCCCAGACAGTTCTTATGGTCTTATACTATATTAGTTGTTAAAATCAAAATAAGAAATGCTGCCCTTTTTTGCAATTTGCCTTAAATAGTTAACTAATTGAGTGGTACATGTCTGGAATACTGCTCTCGGTTCCAGAGCTTTGCTTTTTTTGGCAAAGGTTTGTGAAAAAAATGTCAGCTTCAGAAGACGCGTTATTAATCTTTCAATTGTATGGAATTTCAGATACTGTGAATGTCTAAAACAAGGCTTGAGAACTGTGCTGTGTTTTCTAGTGGCACTCAGACAAGAGATGCTGGAAGAGGCTCAGAATAAGCTCATGAACCTCCTGAACAGCACCGAAGGAAAAGTAGACAAGTAAGTTCTGAATTTAAAACTAAAAATAAACAGATCCAAATAGTATAATATTAAGGCTTATTAGGTGCTTGTTTAAAAAAAAAAAGCACAGGTTGAGCACTGTTATCCAAACAAAATTTGTAGTCGGGGCTATGTCAGGTTCTCAGAGCAGCAGTCCACGATTCACAACTGAGCTCCCCAGGGGCTGTGAAGGCCTGAGTCTGCCATGGTCTTGCTGGCTAACTGTGCCAGAGTAACTCCATTGGCTTGCCTGGTGCATGTAAATGTGCAGTGCTTTTGGTGAGAGACCTCAGTCCTCCAGTAAGTGCTAGGTCTGCTTTAGGTACTGTGGTGAGCAGTGCATGGGGTTTACAGTGCACGAGTCGGCAGGTTCTTCCTGGTGTGAGATAAGATCACTTTATTGGACATATACAATTTCCTATATTAGTTATTTTTCTTTTTGCATACTCCAACTTGCTCTCCATGAGACACACAGAGAGGGAGAGAAGCTTGGGGTCAGAGTACAAGGTCAGCCATTTATGCGGCGCCCCTGGGGCAGTTGGGGTTAGGGGCCTTGCTCTGCCAGCCGCAGGATATGAACTGGCAACCTTCCAGCCACAGGGACAGATCCTTAGCCACAGAGCCACCACACTGCTCCACCGCACTGACCCGAGCGTCGCAGGTGTCACCCCAGCTGTTTGACAATTACCGATTACGAAAATAAAGTCTCTTTGATTAAAATAACACAACCAGTTACCATTTAATGAAGCCTGCACTGTAGTTACCGTCAAAACTTTTCTCAGGCTAGCTTAAATATTTTAAGCCTAAGACAAAAAAGTCATCACATAAGAGTACAAAAGGTTCTGTAAATCTGCCTTTTTAGTCTCTTCAAATATGTACAGTGAAGTGCAGATTCAGCTAATCTTCTTACCAGTGAAGCTTTTGTAATGTTGCAGTGTGAGGTTACGTTGGTAATAGTGCCCATTAAAATGGGCTCAATAAAACATCTATAAAACGTGACCACTGTGCCCGTCGGGTAACCTGAGCCTCCTTCGTCTTTCCAGGGTTTTGATGAGGAACTTGTTTGTCGGGCACTTCCACACTCCGAAGAACAAGCGGCACGAAGCCCTGCGGCTAATGGGAAGTGTGCTGGGGCTCAAGAAAGATGAGATGGACAAGGTATGGAGTGGCCAGGAACCTGCTGTTCTTAACCTGTTTACTACAAATAATGTCTTTCTGAAATCTGGCTGCTGATGACATAATAATATCATTTCTATTATTCTAATATTCTGCTATAAGAGTGGTTCATTTTAAAAGAATGTTATTAGGTATAAGCAGTGTATTTGAATTATCCAAAGATACTGCTTACACATTGTAGTCAAAATGTAATGCTTTGATCTATCTAGGAGAGAGAATGCAATGTGAATAGCTATTATATATCGGTCAGATGGCTTCCTCTTATTTGTAGCCATTCTCATCGTGATTGCCAAAACATTTAGCAGTTCAAGTCTATGCTGTTCCTAAAGGAATTCATTCATTCACATTAGAATGTAACAGTGGAACTGGTCAACACTGGTCGTAATTACCACAACAGTTATTAAAGGGCTGAACTTTTAAATAGCCTTTAATATGGTATACCTGTATTAATTGCTAATTAAAATCACGCACATACTGCTGATGCTGCAGCCTAATGATCTTTATATCCAAAATTCCAAGGTGTATATGTTTAAATATTGGTGTCTGTTGTAAAGTCCCACTCTGTATTTTAAGACTTTATAGGGTAAGACATGGTCCTGCTGCAGTGAATCACTCCGAGTTCAAATCTAAATCCTTTGCAGAATTATGCAGAGATCTAGTACAACTGGTCACCACGAACCAGCTACATTATACACTAATGAGCAGGTTCAAAAGCGTGACACATAGCTTAACAAAAAACGCCGAAAAACATATCGTGTGGAGATGAGATATACGCGTTTGATTTTGAAGTGGTGACGTTATTTAAAACACTGCGATGCTTTGGTGCACGCCAGTGATTTAAATGAGCCTTTGGCATCACGGTTGAATGGGAAATCTGTTGGTCAAGTCCTCCAGAGCCTGTGGGATCCTGTGGTTTTCATTCTGCCACTGATCATAACCATGTGATTGAACTAATAGGATTAGACGCCTTATCACCTTGTGTTTTTAGACCTCAGTCAGTGGCTATAAAAAAAACGAGAGTGTCATTAGGTTTAAATGTTTTGGAAAAACAAATTCTGTAGTTCTGTGTAAGGTTTGTAAGGTGATTCTCGGCGAGATGTACTCTTAACAGTGTATCTGCCGGAAAAACATGGGTGACTGCTTGAGTACTCTTTGCTGCACTCCATTAAACACTGACAATACTGGAGATACCTGTCAAAAAATGTAAACCTGGGAGCCTGCAGTTCTGAAAAATTAAAGGTACATTCAAGTGACATAGGAAAACCTTGTCCAAACTCTTAATGCGGCTGAGTGGGGTGTGCACTTGGCGTGTGCAGTTCTGAACGCTCAATGCCAACTGAATGATTTTTTCCTGGCTCTTCTAAATACTGGTAATCCATCTTGTTGCACACAAGACAAGTGACCATGATCCTTTTGAATCAAAACATTAGAGTATTTTTTTCATGTTTTATTTCTTCTTCAACAAAACTTCAGAGGCAACCTGGTATAGTATACCTGCTTTGAACTTTGGTTTGAGTAGTTGTTATCCTGCAGTTTAGAAAACTAGGCATGGTTTTATGTTTAAACGAATCCTGGCATTATGGTAAAAAAATGAGTAGTGACATTGTATGTTGGTAAGCTCAAATGGCACTACTCCGGTGCTTAATTATGTCTTAACAGAGCAGACAATAAATCATGCAAAAGGATAGGATAAGTAATCTTACTCTGCCATGTGTTATATACGTGAAGTCAGGCCACTGCTCAAAAAAGTCCTTGAAGAAACTATTTCCTTATTCATGAATGTTGGCAGAAACAATGGGAAAGGTTTCCAACTATTCAGAAGAATTACCCAACAGTTTAAAGAAAAACAGATTTCAGAATGAGTGGTAAATTCAATTACACTTCTCCTAAGGCCTGTTTTATTGCTTTCAGTCTTGTTCCACTTCATTGCCTTTATTCCTTTAGGCTGTTAAAATTCTCCACTCTAGATGTCTTTTTCTTTGGGAGTTATTCAGTGTCTTACGACCTCCAAATTAGTTCCATCAGCTCATCTGTGAGGTCTTCCGCATTAGGATCGGCCACTACTTAGTAAAAAAAAAACAACAGGATTCCTTCAGTTGGAGGAAGAATCTGCTACAAGGATCTCAGCACTTCAGAGCCATATGATGTGCAGAAACAGCATGTCATGGACCAGATCAACAACCCAGGGCAGTCTTTTCTACTGAGCAACATTCCCAAACTGAAGCAGACACCTGGTTTTCCAGAACCGGCCTCAAGTAATCTCTGAACATACAGATAAGATGATCTTGAAAGATAGTCAACTTTGACTGCAAGGGATGCCAGTATAGTTAAAAACCTGAACTGCCATCTCAGCTTTATAAATATTCTATTTATAGAAACTGTTGCATCCTCATTTGCCTTATTCTTTGTTTCTACAGCTTTTGTTAGAAGAGCCTCACGGTGTAACTGGGTGGGTATCCAGTTGGTTGGGGGGTCGAACTGCTCAAAGTGTCCCCAACACTCCACAAAGACCTGGCCATTCATCACAGATGAACAGCGTAAGGAATGCATTCTTGCAGATTTATTGTTATTTTCTGACCATCATCTCATAACAACATATTTGAAAGATTTCATGATTTTGCCCTCATGTTTTGTTTGACTGTGCAGTCCTTCTCGGAGATGTTTGTGAAGTTTTTGGAGGTGGAGTCCAGGCCCACCGCTCCCCCACTCCGACTGCCTGTGTACGACGTAAAGCCTCTGACTGCACACCCTCCTGGCCAGACCTACAGCAGCGCAGGAAGCTCTGCCTCAGGTGTGTACAAGCAGAGCCCAAGACCTGTATACTGCACAGCACAGTCCCAGTGCTGAGAGACGTTTGCCTTTGTCTTTTAATATGAATCACCTATTTAAAACGAGGAAGATAAAATTTAGCCAGTCTTGACCAGTAAAGGCAGGAGCTGATGCCACAGTCTGAGTACTGTAATCCAGATGCCAGTCCTCAGGCAGAAGCACTTGGTTGTTAAAGCTGGGAGGGCATGAGTCCCCCCCAGCACACTGCAGAAACTCAGAATTACTCTGGTCTACACTACCTCTGGTGCAGATGCTCTTGAACTCGCAGCCAGAGGTTTGGCAGAAGGTTCTAGAGCCAGATTCATTACCACATAAGGAGTATAAAACTGCTGCTGGTTCTACATATGGGATAAAGGAAACCAAAAATGATATTGAGTGGTAAAAATTGTGAGTCTGTAAAAGACCAGTCAGTTGTTTTATTGCAGCTTTAAATAATATCCACGATTGTATTCCCTGTTTTATTAACTAAAAATGGCTTTATTACCTTGGGATACAAGTTGAGCGATTCTCTTCCAGATGTTGCCTCATCTTTCTCTCATTGACCAGTCGTAGTGTTAGTATTCAGAGCGAGGCCTAATATCTTCCAGGGGCGTCTGGAGGAGCGAAAAGACCGGAGTCCAGTCCGTTCCTGGCGCCGCGCTCGGCGGCTGTGCCCCTGATGAACTCAGCTGCCGCAGGGGCGGGAGGGGGTGGCCACCTGCTCATGAAGCCCATTTCCGACTCCTTGCCCACCTTCACACCAGTGCCAGTGTCTGCCGATGCCAGTGCTGGAGCTGTGCTGAAGGACCTGCTCAAGCAGTGAGGGGCTGGGCGTCCCGCCTCACTAAAGCACTTTATAATCTAGAGCCGGGCACCACAGCAGCCACAGTAAACACAGGTTTTCCTGTCTCGAGTTGCTTTTCAAGTACTGTATTAGGGTAATTGGTTTAAACGCTCTAATTTTATTTAGAAACTGTTTGCTCCAAATGTTGACCAGTGTCGAATTCTCTAAGGTGCTCTTGCAAAGAACTACAGCTAAATCATAACATCCCCATTCACAGCAACAAGACTTGATTGGGATCTACATTCTCTGAAATTTAAACGAAGTAGAAAATATGAGTAGACTTAAATGTTCAAGTTCGGGCTTAGATACTTCTTTAATTTGGAACTGCACATCAGTTTCATCTCTAAAACTGCAAATTGTGTACCAGATAAATAACATTGGTTTGTTTGTATATTTTTGTAACAAATTCTAATGTGTACACAGAGTTCTTTGAAGTATGATTCATTTTGAATGTGTTTACAATATGCCCACATTTGTAAATCTTAAAAGTCTGTATCCCTTGAGATTTTAAGTTCACCTTCTGTCACATGCACATTTTAAGTTTTGGCACAGGGGAAGTCGTAGATTTATAAGGCACAGCATCTGTTAAAACTATAAGGACGCTTATTTAAAATTCTCTTATGGATTTATAAGGAATTGAATTACAATATGGAAAGTATATGGGTTAAGCAATAATTATAGGTTTGAACTGTATGCAAAATATGTAAAAGTAATTGTAAGCAGTGTAAATATGTATATTTCTCCCTCATATTGAATGGCATCTGGAAAAGTATATAAACTAGAAAAAAAGTAATTCCCTTTAGCTGTCAGAATTTAACATTTTAAAAGGTTTCTATGTAGGTTGGAAAAACTATTTCTGATGCATATGAAACATTTACTGTTTAGGAGCTGAAATCTGTGTATAAGATTGTAGATTTAGTGTGTAAAATATATTCCTCCTAATGGTCACAAAATGTTAAAAATATATTGATCTCACTGCCATTCCTGTATATTTTGTAACCATAGTGCTGTGCACATTACAGGCAATATAAAAAAAGGATTGCATTCTCCTATACTAACCAATTTAACGTTCTTTTGAAATTAATGATAGCATGATTTAAAGTAGTGCCACCGTTCCTATTTTCAACCTTTTTTAAAAGTTCTAAATCTGTTTTTTCTGTAATTTACAGAAAAGGCAGGCAGGTGCTCTGACAATCACAATGTCAAAGCCTTAATGCAATGTTATTCTTGTTACCTGCCAGAGGACCATTATCCACTAGTGACCTTGTGTGGGAATTACGGTGGCTGTGATGAACAGAGATTTATGCACATGATATCCTGAAAATGTAGGCTAAATACCCTCTGTAGGTTAATTGGGATGAGTCACAGAAGATAATTTCCTTCTTCTCTCATTTTTCCTTTTGCATGTTTTCTCATTAGTACATACTGTATTTATCAAGAACCATCATGTTTTTCCAACAGTTACTGCCTGTTTTTTTCTGGGCTTCCTAGAGCTGGCTATCCTAAATCAAATCCAGTAGGTTGTGTACACATGAAAATCTTCATTTTGTTAAAACTTGGAATAATTTCATATGGTGAAATTAAGTAATTTGGTATGTAACGATGACTTTCATCTCTCAGAGGCTGGCTTTTCTTTAATTGAATAAAGTCCTTGCTTAATTGATCAGTAACTTCAATGTTCTCAGTCTTTACAAAACTGGTAAATAAGGCTGACCTGTTAGACTTGCTTATGTAGGTGTGTTCAGGACCAGGCTTAAGAGACCACTGGTTTATCGTGTCACAGAATCGATGTGCCCAAATATTTTTATGCAGTAAGTTTATTCCCAGGATTTCTCTAATAGCCAGTATTTATGCAGAAAGCCTCATTGCTTTTTCTACTGCAAAACATTTTGCTTGCTTCTGAAGTTTCTTCAAAAGAAAAAATGAAGGTGTAGGTATCACATTGTTGTGCAGAAGTCTGAATTTCCTATAAGACTGTTTAATAAGTTCCTATATTGTTTTAGGTCTTAGTAAAATGTTTAAAATTAATCATATGAACTTGAATGCAGTGAAATTTGTTTTGTGTGGCTGCAGACATGGATACAAACCCATTTATTTATTGAGTTTTAGGCACAATTTTTTCTCAGTCTTTGACTGTTACACTACACTGGGGAAGCTGGGTCTTCATAAGTAGTTTATTTTTGTATCTGGTCTTAAACAGTTTGCAGACACATATCAGACTTTAACGGGAAAAATTGTTTCAACCATCTGCAGATTCCATTTTAGAAGGATATATAATTTCAAAGTGAGCACTTTAATAGCTAATAAATGTTTGGAGCGCTGGCATAATTGGGAAAGAAACTTGGGGGGCCTCATTTATAAGAATCTGAATGAAACTTCATCATTTTTCCTTGACTTATTGTATAAGTTTGTACATGTACCAGCTTTTACTATGTATGAAGATGATGCATTGCAAGATATTAAGGATAATACAACTTTGTACCACTAAATGTTCAGGTGGTATAATGTATTTATTAAGCAATCATTAATAGAATGTACTGGAAGGTGCATTGTGCCATAAATAATTGTAAATAAGGATGCAAATTGTCCTGGGTAGAGCTAGAATCTGTTTTTGACTTGTTTACATGTCAATTAAAATATATTCTCAAAGTTATTTTTGGAAGTGCTTCTCATTAAATAAGTGAAGGAATATACTGATTGCAGGTGTTCGAGGGATGTTTATAGATACCTCTTAAAGCTGGGACTTTTCTTCAAAATAGTCTTTGTTGCCTTCTGGTGTATCATTCAGGGTTTATAATGGAAAAATAAATCATTAGTATTGTTAAAATGGGGGGTTATGAAAATTGTGAAAATCAAGATTTGACTTTATTCATAAGCCCCTACTTGTAAGTGATTTCTCTGAATATACCCAAGCCAAACACTATGCTACACACTATACAACACACAAGTTACTATGTTTACACTACAGTATGTACAAGCAATGTGTGTCAGAGGCCTAACATCCTACTTACCAGAAAACCCCCAGACTTTTACTTAGTATTAAACTCTTAAACCCTACAGAGACCAAATAAGAGATAAGATGCCTTTTCAATACAATACAATCTGCAGCTGAATCGCTCTCTCTGCACCCTGGATGTCACAAAATAAGTGGGAGCCTTTTTCCCTGTTCTAAAAATGCACCCTAAGCAGGAAAGACATTTTTAACCAAGGTATCTTTTATACAGGAAACCCAAGTTCCCTAAGAACAGAAAAGCAAGCTTTCCGCAGCAAGGTCAGATACTTAGCTCCCATCAGCTTTTGCTTGGATGATCAAGAAGTCGGGGCTCTCGCCTGGCACAAGCTTCAAGGTCCAACTCCTCTCTTGTGATCTGATCCTCTTTCTCTCCTCTCTCCTCTTCTTATCCCCTTTTTCTGGTCTCTCTGAGGTCTCAATATGGTCTGATATGTAGTGTTTCTGGACTGTTCCTTGACAATCATTAACCCACAACTTAATTACCTAGATATGCTAAGGTGAACTTTATAATGGTTTCTGATCAGGGGACCACCACATCTCAGCAAACATCCCCTCTGCTTTGAAGCTAGAAGTGTTTAATCTGCCAAATGTCACAAACTTTATTTAAACTCTAAGACCCATTTCCTAGTTACTTATAGCTTAAAGAATATTAAGGGATTTTATTTAAATCATACAATGCACAAGAAAGACCTTATTGAAAATGTGGTGTACAGTTTTGTCTGCTACATTTTGCTGCTTTGGGGTTAGACCAAAAAGACCTGAAATTAAAAGAATGTCCTTCACTGACAAGCTAAAACACCTGATCAAGAGTCTTGTCATTCTTGATCAGAACAAAACTACAAGGGCATCCGATGCATGTATTCAGAGTAATCAGCCCAGCAGATTTCCACAGAATCAACAGTGAAAGACTAATCAGAGGATGTATGTGTGAGGGCAGAAAGTGTGTTTAGAGCCGACACCAGGAAGCACTTCCTCAAGCAAAGGGCTGTTAGTGTAGCAACTGGAGGAGTTCCTCAGATCAATTAGCTAATAGCAACAAAACAAGCTAGATGAGCCTTCTCTTCTTGTCCTTAACCCCTGGTCTACCACTGGTGGGACAAAAGCAATGTGTATAACCTCTGAAACAGGCGCTTGTTTGCAACGTACAGTACGCTCGTAGCGAGGGGGTAATGGAGGTTGGTTGTGTACAACTATCACTGCTCACACTGCAGCCCTGCCAACATCTCCCTTGTGCAGCACACCGAAGAAAGTCTGGCTGTCCACTGTGCTGGCTGTGTGGTGCACAGCCATAATGACCTGCAGTGTACAGCCTGGTTTAGATCAGACATCTTCACCTCGAAAGGGCCCAGCATCTTTACTAGTGAGCCAATCAGATGCCCACAAACAGTTTCATTTATTGGGATTTTGTTTTCAAAAAGTGGATTTTGAAGCACCAGGTTAGAAATGCCTTTAATGAAGATCTACAAATATTGACTACAACCGTGGCACATATCATTTCTGTTAATATTCTCAATATGGCAGGAGCCACTCGTTTGTCAGTCATTTCTGCAAAAGCTGGAACATGTCACTGTGACTTACAGCATTTCTTTTTATGTGTACCCAGTGAACAAATAAGGTGTGATTTCAGGAAACGAATATTGTATTCAATTTCCTGTGTCATACTATACATTTATGTCTAGAGCATAACTAGAATATAGCTGGCTTTTCTGAATTAGTGTTTATGGCATTTTAAATGATCTTTCGCTCACAGGTTGGACTTCAAACACAAGCATATTGCTAAATGGAACACTGCTAAAACATGGGTTCAAGTAACTTGAATGTTTTTCCTTTTTATAATAGTTTTAAATAAAATTCACATGGCATCCCTCCTTAAAGAGCAATGTGATTAATAGAACAAAAAAACACCATTAGAGGAAATAGTATACAATATGACAAAGATACAGATTCTGTGAAATCTCCAATTTTAATGTCCTTCTAGCTCTCTGTCCAATCTCTGCAATCCCGTCATCCTCCCACCCAGTGTAACTACCCTCCGCATTCAGTTTGGGCAACTTCTAAAGGGACTTTAATTATGGGGTCTGTAATGGCTTGACCAGTGCTTAAATGGAGTTGAGCCCCCCCCAATCCACATGTTACTAGTTCAGACCTGGGCTGCCAATAGCCAGCTGTGACCATGTGGCTTCCCCTCGCAGGGTGACACAATTGGCGGGGTGTTACCAGACTATGGTGGTCCTAAGACGCACAAAGAATCGTCCTCAGCCTGCCCTGCAAGTTACCAACACCTGGGACCCGCTAGATTAGCATACTGTCTTTCCGGTGAGACCTATAACTTTTCCAGTCAGGGTCCTGTGGTGTAATGTCAATGAGTTGCTTGACAGACAATGGAATATCCCGAGCAGCTTGCCTTCCATTAGGTCAAGCCCCACTCAAAACCTTCTCGTGGCGCTTGAAAACTTAGTGTGGACTTGACCACAGTCCTGCTGGATTGCATTCATTTGCTGAAGATCTATGAACAGTTTACACGTAACAAAAACTACGACATCTTGTCAAATGCCTTTTTTGTGATCTTGCTGGGTTTTTTTTTCATTTCTGTTAGTGTGTGAGCCGGCATTTAGTAGATCCACATTTTGTTCTAGCCTGCTCCTGCGTTTTATTCTATTCTGAACAATAAAACAAGTTTAAGAAGCACTTATTCGTACCGCAACGTAGAGCCTAGTTAAAAGAATCCCACTTCTAATAATATTCAAGGCTCACACTATCGTCAGTCTCGCCGCCATCCCCATTCCAGTTTCGCGAAAGGCACTCCAACATCTTATTATTATTATTATCTGTACGCTGCCAGGGCGCGCAGTCAACGAGTCCTTGTGCTTTCATGATTTAAAACAGCTGTTACCAGTGCTGCAGGACTCCCATTTGCATGGCTAAAGAGTAAATGGGAGCGTTCTTATTTTAAAGCGTTCCTAGGTTAATTGGCCGACTAAGTCTTGGCTGGGCAGAAAGGGGTGCTTCTAAAAAGTAGGTATTCGTTTCGCGTCGAGGCGCGGCGTCTGGGGGAGGTCAGTGAGCGCGGCGGCGGCCGCCTGCGCGGCGGGTTCTGTTCCTCATACAGTACTGAAGCACAAACGGGCTCCATCTGAACAGGGACCTGCGGGCTGCATGCGTCTGCTGGAAAAGAGAAGGCACTAAGGGGCAATAAAATAACAGCGGGAGACTTTCTGAATCTCAAGTCTGTTTACGGCTGCAAGGTAAAAGCATTTATGCCGTTATGTCTCGCGTTTAAAAACGCACATTCGGGAGTAGGACTATAAAATGAAACGTGTTCATTTACAGTTGTACAGAAGTTTTGATATACGACGTTTTTGAAAGAGAAGAGTCGTAGGTTTAGACTTAAGTGGTATGAAATAAAATCGTTTAAAGAAATGTAATAAAAGTATGCAGATTCATCACTAGATAATCAAACTATTGTTTGCAGACTATTTTGATTGACAAATTAAACTCTGAGTTTGTGAACGAATTACTTGCATGTTTTTCCGAATAATTAGTATAGTTATAGAAATCTTAGAAATTCTAAGTTCAACTGCATAATAGCCTGTGTTTTAAAGAAACCTACCATGTCTGTGTTACATGGTCATACAGTAAATCTTTAACGTTATTCTAGACTTTTCTAAATTTAAATGTACAATTTTAGATTACAGTAGTTTTAAAAACGAAGCACCTAAAGATAATGCTTATATACAGTTATTTCATTTTGCACCACACAAGGTATTCGGAAAGGTCTGTTAACATGTTTATACATGATTATATCTGCATAAATCTAAACTGTTGCTGCCTGGAACCACTAAATTGAGCATGTTTTTAACTTACAGCTTTACATTTTTTCCAATAAAAGATGTTTCCACACGGTGAGAAATATGTACGACTTGGAAAACATTTCGATTTTAGAAAATGTGCTTTTCCCCCGTCTTATGCTTTTGGGTTAATAG